ATCTCGGGTATCAGAACCGAACCTAAAAATATTGGGTATATTCGAGTAGTTCGAGTAAATTTTACAATTTGTTTTTGCTATTTTTCGGTTATTCTAGACAACTTTGGGTATTTATGGGTAACATTGGTTTATTAGATTTGTAAAAAGCATTAAAAAATTAGTAGTATCATTTATAATTTTGTTTTAGAATCTTGAGATTGTGAAAATTTTTTTGAAGCAAATGAAATGAAACTTTAAGTGATTATTAGTATTGTCTATTAGGATTCCAATTTCTTTGGTCAACTTTAAAAAAAAAAAAAGGTTTATTTGTTCAGGAATATTATGATATTTTTTTTTTTGAAAAAGAGGAAAATTATGATCTTTATAAGTTGTTCAGGAAAAGCTYGATTGGTCCTAAAATTGATGAGCAATATGGCGCTCAATTCCAACAAGAATGGGTTGACGATGATGTTCAATTAGATTATATGGCGAAGCTTCTCAAAGGAATCTTTGTATGTATTATAACATGAGATTAGTCTCGTACAATAATAAAAGAACAAAAGCAACTTCCCACGAATGCTTTTCTTTTTAGTTTTTACATGCTTTATTTCCCTAAATTTAGTTTCTCAAGATTTACCCCCCACATGAGAGTGAAACAATCAGCTTTGTAGACTTTCAAAGAAGGTTTTTCTCCTATTCAAAGTCTATAAATCACAGCCAAAGACGAAACACAAGTTTGTTACATCCCATATTGAAACCAAGACAATGCATAAATGAATACTCATGTTTACTTCGATTTTCCGTAACTAAACCAAACCAACAAAAAAAAAAAGCGAAGAGGAATGTACAACAAAAAAAAGGAGAAATGTTTACAAAAGCATTGAAAACCGAGTTCCTCATGGAGTGTTCATGTTACATGTTCATTCCTTTCGTCTTTCAAGAGCATCTTCAATGGTGGGTATTTAAAATACCGTATTTCGCATGTGTTATAAATTTCAAAAATAAAAACTACTGTTTTATTGGATGGGTATATGAAATAGTGAAAAAACCCACCCAATGTGAGATACCATTCATTGGGAATGCTCTTACGTCATTATAATCAAGTTTCTAAGAAGGCATTGTGCATGCGGTCGAGTACAATAGCATATAATCAAGTTTTTCAAAAAAACTAATCAGATTAATTAACCAGCATATACTGAATATTAGCTATAGGTATAATACCTTGGCATTCTTACGGCTCTCAAGTTCTTCTTCATCCATTGTATACTCAGCCGGTTCACTGACCATTTCGTGTCTGACCTCTGTTGGAAAAAAACATTCCTTTTAGTCCTACTGGTCTAAAGTTGCAGACAAATGGTCCCATTCTTTTCCAGTTGTTTACCAAAACAGCTTATTAAAACATTGTTATATATCATCAATGCACAAAATTACTAAATTTAGCTTCGGCCTCCAGTTGTGTCAATATAAAAAGTATATCGATGCATGCAAGGTACAGTACAATACATACATTTTCATGATAAGATATATAAGCATTTGACATTGTGGAGGGTAAAAAGTTAAAAAAATGAACCCATTTCAAGTTAATCCTTCCTTAAATTTGCCAAGATAATTCTGCGTAAAGAAAGTATTGGGATATTTAAAAAATCGGTTAAAACCTAGATACCATTGTTTGTACAGAACGTTTAAACCTGGATCTATAATTCCATAAAAACATGTTACATACCCGTAAGGTATACTCCTGAATACCAGGTAAATGATATTCACTACGTTTAGCATGGTTCCTTTGCACAGCAAAAAAGAATAAGGAGAAAGCTATAGAACATTTAGAGGTCAATGACTCAATAGGTTCAAGACATGATTGTAGAGGGAGAGAGAGCCTTAGTCTATATCATACTCTCAAGTGCCGATAGCTAACCAGAAACATTATTCAAACAATGAGGTTATGGTAAAACCACAAGAGAGTCGAGATATAGAGAGAAAGTAAATAATGAGATGCATACATGAATAAACTTTTTGACTATTGAAACTATAACAAGTTGTATGAACAGTAAAAACAGAACGTATAAAAGTCACGGGTCGAATGGATGAAGTTGAAGGCTTTAGTATTTTATTTTCTCATCGCTAACCTATTTTTTTCTTAGGTGACGATCCACTTTATAGTTTTCATCATTTGTAATTTTATTATCTATTGTGTCTCAAATAACTCCTCATAGACCAATGGAGAAGGCAAATTCAGTCCCTTGAAACTTAAACTCGGACTACATAATTTTCACCACCTAGAGGGCTAAAAAGGGTACTTATTATGTTTGAATCCATAAAACTACTGACCATGTTAAAAACTTACCGCAATTATGTAGCTTCAATTATGCTTTTGTGCTTATAAGGATGCCAGTTTTGTAGATGTCCCTGCAAAGAACATTCTCATCCAAATAAATTAAAAAAATATGTCTCAAAGCAATAGCATCACTTTTGCGGATATTATAAAAGGGTTTGAGTTCACAAACCAATGCAAACTTCTGAACAAATCAGTCTGATCAATTCCTTATTCATGTCATAATGAAGCTTTAAAATCCTACAATAATCTTTTTTGTTTAAAAAGGAGTTGCAGGTTCAATGTTGATTTGGAACACATGTATATGGAAAGACATAATAATTTTCCAGATTATTAAAATAATTTTAATACCATAAAAGTAAAAAACAAGGAGAAAACCTTTGGTAGATAGTCATGGGAGGAGAGGAACAAATGCGAGGAGCTAGTCATGGCTGAACCAGTGGGCAAGCAGATTTTGGCAACCTTTGGTATATAGTCGAGAGATGAGACTCTTACTCTTACTCGCTTAGCATTTTTATAACTATGAAACTCATGTTATTGCTACAATCATTCATATTAACCATGCCCAAAGTAGCTGCCCATTTGTTTCCTATTTGTCCTGCAATTACTCGTCCATTTAACTATGAGAGGGGAAATTAACTGAATTCTATTAGAAACAAAAATCTGAGATTCACTTACTTTCTCCGGTTTGACTTGTTTTACTTTCTAACTGAAGGAACTGGATTCAAATATCGGAACTGAAATTAGCAGTTGCAACCCATATCATTCTCAGAGCAGTGCATGGTCAGACGGAGATTCACCTTGGTAAATGCATTGAGAGTGGTATGATTGGTAAACGAAATGATGCAGCAAAGTCACCCGCGTACACTGTTTTGTAGGCGTAATAACCATCTTTGGTCTTGTACTTGTCGCACGAGCAGATTTAGTCATGTTAGTTCCACTTATAGGAGTGGTTACTTGGATATCTTGTGAGATACCAGTGAATCACAAAATTAGAAGGGAAACAAAGATCACACCTCATCAGTGAGAACCAAGATTTCTAACAGATTAGGCTCTAAAACCTTGAAAGCAAAACATTCCATTTGTAAAAGACAACAATCTCATGAAGTCCAAGGAGTGTGCATTTGAGAAAAATCGAAAGGAAACGTAAACAAGCTAGAAAACTGAGTGAAGATAAAAGCTCATTATGACAAATGAAACACCAAGCAGAAGGAAGACAGAATCCCAACATGAACTAACTCATAAAACCTTTAATCTTCCAGGTGGTTCATCTTAGCCTGGAGGAGGAGACGGTAACTTATGAATTATGATAGGAGGAGTCTACTAAACCACGCCTCATGTCTCTGACATTGAACCATCTTCCCAGCCTTTGAAAGAGGGGAAAAAACGAAGTTATCGGTTGAATCTAAATGTAAGGATTATTGGATTATCTGTCGATTGAACTGAGATACCTTGGAAGACTCATCATACCGTTCGTCCAAATATTCAAGCCAAGATTGAGCAAGATCCCGCTGTTTAGTCATTTATGCGAGCTGCTTCTCCATCCGCACAACATCAAAACTTAATAAGGATAAACCCAGCTACAAAAATCAACCAAATAACTTTTTTAATATTGATATAATCGTGAGTAAACCAATCTGGTTTTTTCATATTGATATGCTCAATCGTGGATGATGTTTTGGGAAAAAATATGTTTTGAAGTGAACGTGGACATTCGTAAAATTGAAGCAGGGCCGACCCTGAATAGTTTAGAGAATTTAGAGGAGATGCAAATCTATGCGTAGGAGATTATCATCAACGTTAGAGGAGAAAATAAACGAAAGTAACAAAAGAGGGTGGGGGATGTGTGTGCCCTTCCATCTCTGTTCCTTGCGGGAGGATTAGAGGAAGGCTTGAAACTCCGGCGGTGGATGGATGCGGTTTCCGGTCGGAGAAAAGAGAAGACCGGAGAAGAGAAACTGAAACGAATCACTGTTAAAGTATTATTAACTCTGGCAATGGAAGATGAAGAGAATGGAGAGGAGTTGAATCGTTTGCGAAGCGAAGAGAATGGGCTGACTGAAAATGGGCGAAGGCCCAAACAAACATTGGCCCAAATATTGAATGCGTACGTGGCTTGTTTTGGTGCTGAGGTGGCGAAAGTAGGAGAGAGCCAAGCAACTTTTATATAGTAGACTAGGTGATTAGTCCTAAAGTATTTATTTTGTTATTTGTTCAGAAATGAAAAAATGAATTTTATTTTTTTTGCCGTGCTGATAATAAGAAATTCAACCAGAGCGATAATTGCAATACTAATCTCATATCTAGACACTGGGAAAAACAAAGAGCTTACTTGTGAGGTTGTAGGGATCTTGAATAGTAGCCGGATGTGCAGTACATCAATTTCTTTGTATAGTCTTTAAGTCTTAACAGATCATGAACCTACCGTACATACATCAACAAGATCGTAACATCACATGTCTGAGATTTAAAGATAAAGGAAACACATACTTTGATTACATTATATCATATATGATCTAGAAAATACATTACGGATATAGATGTTTGTGTCACAAGCAAGACGTGCATCCAGTTTAGTTGAATCTCGACCTGGAACGAGATTGACAAGATCGCCACCTACGTTTACAATAGCCTGAAATTTTCTCATCAGCAATGGGGCAAAAAATCTTTGAGAAGACCCGAAGAAGAAAAACAGATCAACTTTATTGAAAAAGCAAGAGAGTCGAGATTATCCACAGCATTCTAGTGATGATGTAAGAGAGTCAATCATGTATGGTCAAAACATGATGCGAGATATCTTCTTCTAAATATTAAAATGCTTAAATGCTTACCCGGAAAACCGTATCGGTTAGACCACATATGCCAAGGAGGAGAGCAGAGCTAACAGTAGCTAGAGTTGGCGAGAACCTGCAGTTCAGTTGTACACAACAAAGGAATTAATCAAGAAATTAGAGTAGAAAATGTTATCGCCAAAACCAAAGAAGGAAATTTAACAATAACTAAAGCTTAGAAGCATTAAAAGAACTTCAGGCAGTCTGGAGTTCCAAAATCTTAAGTTGATTGCTTTCTTATATCCTCGATCCATAATTTACTCCGATTCTATGATATACAACCAGTAACTACAGTCTCATTTTCACCAAAAAAAAGTAAAAGTCTCATGGAGTAGAGATATATCTTACCTCTCATAGTCATCGAACAATCTTGCCAAAAGTTGATACAACATCTAGTTCATTGTTCTCACCTGAAAAACAAAATTTCAATAAACAATTTCAGTCATGATCCAAACGTATTCCAGAAAATATTTCACAACTTGAAGAAAACCTATATAATTCTAGAACAAAGTTACCATGTTCTAAATTTGTGTTCACTGCAGAACAGAGTGAGACAGCGTGAGAGAGAGGGAAAAGTTTACCATGTTTAGAAACTGACTGTCTCTACAAAATCAACTTTTACAATGAGAACTATATGTACTAAACCAAAATCTTAATAATAAAATCTAGACACAAATGTAGCATACTCTACATCTATATATTAATTTGATTAGGTTAAAATATTGACATAAAAAGAGTCCATATATGAGAAATTCATATCATGTATTCAAAGAAATTCAGTTACTAAGATTGGAATCATATATTCATGGCTAGTTCCGATGATGATGCTCTGAGTTAAAAAAGTAAGAGACATCTAAGAGCTGCTTCAGATTAGATATTATAAAAAACAATTCTTCTTTGTGTTTGACAAGATATCACCTGCATTGGGCTCTTGAAGAAACATAACTAAATCCTTCATCAATCGTATCAAAAATCTCAATCTGCACACCAAGTAGGCCAAATTCTTGCACTCTGGAATAATTTCCCTCACTGCACCCATAACATAATACCCAACCCTGCAAAAACCAAAAACGTTTAGTAACCTAAGATTGCACAAACATATCCACCATCGTGCTGAATAAAAAAGGTAAGAGAGACCATGACATATTGTATCTCAAGATGGACAGTAAC